CTTTGCCAAGTGAATCACACTTTCCAACTTCTGTTCCTTCATCAGCACCTGGTTGGGTTATCCCTAGCTCTGTTTATCTCCAGCTATGGTCATTCTCTTCAGAGCAATGCCAAAATTCTTCCTTTTGCAGTGAAGACCTCATTCTTCCACATGCTGTCATCACACTACTAAAAGCTTTAACTAAAACATGAAAAATCTGTACTTGAAAACACATTCTCTAAATGCTTGTTCCTTTTGAACAACACATTGTGAGCAACACATTCTTTTGGGGATTGAGTTTCCAAACTTCTGTGTGATCCTTGTTTCCAATTTAAATTGTGCTTGGTACCAGGAAACAGGGTTATTCAGACCCTCGCACGAGCCAGGTTGCGGCATCTGACTGAGTTAATCTTGTGGAGTGCCTCAGCTCCTTCAGCAGGTAAATGATCTCGCCTGGTGATTCTTTGTGAAGAGGACATCTCTGTACTTCAGAGCCTAAAAATTATCTGAGAAAACTGGCTTCTTTCGAGGCTGATTCCTGCACCACCAACAGTGAGGTATTCAGTTGCTGTGAAAAATCTTTTGCTCATCTTTCTTTGTGCTGCCTTGGTTGTTCTTTGCCTTATGATATTTTTTTCAATCACAATTTCCAAATTTCCACTTTATCTGATGTATTATCGTAACCATCTTATTCCACTCATGTTGGAGTTCAGTGTGTCCATGGGAGCAGACTTGTTTCTCTGTAGCTTTTTGTGTAGCCCTTTTAACACAAAGATGATTTTCAAGAAAATATGAGGGAGGAGAAAGTTATCTTTCAATATTGTGCTCTTAATATTTTCAGCTTGCCACAGCATTCCAGAAATAATTAAAATTATCTATTTCTTCATATCGCCTTTCCAGCTCTGAAACAATGATTTGCTTTTCTCTCTCTGAAAGAAAAGCTTAACCTCTTTGAATTTTCTAACCATTCTCCATCTTAAACAAGTCTTTTCAACTTTCATTTTTTCAGTCTGTGCTTCACCCAAAATTTTTCTTGCAGTTCAGGGGGTCAATGTCCTTGACTGTTTATCTACCTCTGCTGGTTGAAGTTGTGCCATTTTTCTTCCGAGTAGCTAATGTCAAGATTTTTTTTTTTTTTTTTATTTCACCTGGGGAGGATGCCGTGATTTCCAAGTATTTATTTCCAACTATTTCTCTGCTTATCACATTCATCTGCAAACCCGTTTCCTCCAGCCCCTCTTTGTTCTTAAAGAGATAACTGAGCACAACGCATCATACATTCTCTTATCCTGACCTCTCAGGCCACCTTTGGATCTTCCATGCTTCCAGTGCTATCTTTACAAGTTATTGCCTTAATTTTCAAGAAACATTCAAAGAATAATTTCTCCCACACAGTTCTTACCCACTGCAAAGTTTTCTCAGTTCAATCTACCATCTTGCCTGTCTCCAAAACCCATCTCTTCTCCATTTGTGGATTTCCAGCTTATGAATTTAATATGAATTTTACCACCACGAGCTTGTAAATCTCTGTTTGTTTCCAACTTTGAACAGTTTTTTCCCTGTCAGGTATTTACTATAGAGAACTTATTGTCAAACACTTAGCTTTTTTATATAGATACTAAAAAGGAGATTCTGTGTTTCCTGGGTGAAATGCAAACCATGTTTGTTGAAAGCATGCAGTATGGAGACAAAGATCTCAGTACTGTAAGAAAACCATTTGGTAGATAACAGTTCACATAGCAGCCAGTAATTGCACTTGTATTTTTTCCAGTGTTTGGTTGGTGTGAAAGTGTAAATTCTGATAAGATTTTTTTCAGTGTTTATGATGTGCTGGTCCTTATTTGATTATCAAATCATTCCAGCTTGAAGCCATACCTTTAAAAAAATCTCTAATTTTAAATTTAAATATTTTGCAGCTTCAAGTATTATGCGAACTGTTTTATGAAAAATATGCACCAATTTAAAGCTGCTCAATAAATATTTTCTATATTTTTGCACGTGGACTCAGCTGTTCACTCCATAGGTCCTTTTAATAGCCTGCATACAAAACAAAACAGAAAACAAAAACAACAATAAAAAAAGAAAAATTCTGCTGAGTTTTAGATAGACAACATTAATTTAGAAATAAGTGTTGGCATCCAGCCCTAAATTCACAGACACCATAATCTCTTTCTAGATGTTTTATATTAGCTTCAAAATAACAAGAACCAAAATTGCTAGCAGTAACCACCTGGTTTACCTTGAAATAATGAACAGTGTTTGAGTCCAACTACAGTTATGTCTCTTAAAATAGGCTTTGCTGTGTTACGTTAATCAGAGTCAGATTCACCTCTGGGAAGATGAGTTGAAGGAAATTGCCCTCCACATGAGCACTGCAATATGATGTGCACTCCTTTAACTACTTAAGTAGTTGCTGTTAACAGGAAGAATAGCAGGTTGTATCAGCACAATGTATTTTCTGGAGACTAATTATACTTGTGATTTTTTTTTTCTTTTATTTTTTTTTTTCCAGAGGGGAATCATAATAGCATCACCTGTATCAGCATGGAAGCCTATAGATCAGGTCTAAGCCTTGAAATCATAAAAATTCTTGAAAAAACAGTATTTGTGTCCTGGTTTCGGCTGGGATAGAGTTAATTTTCTTCGTAGTAGCTAGCATAGTGCTGTGTTTTGGATTTAGTACCAGAAGAATGTTGATAACACACTGATGTTTTTAGTTGTTGCCAAGTAGTGCTCAGACTACTCAAGGACTTTTTGAGCTTCTCCTGCTCAGCCAGGTGCATAACAAGCTGGGAGTACACCACAGCTAGGACAGCTAACCCAAACTGTCCAAAGAGCTATTCCATACTATAGAATGTCATGCTCGGGGCGGGGGGTGTAGTCAGTCGGTCGGTCGTGGGGAGAGTGATCGCTGCTCAGGGACTGATCGCGGCTTGGGACGGGCTGGGCATCGGTTGGCGGGTGGTGAGCAATTGCATTGTGCATCATCCGTTTCATATATTCTGTTATCATTCTCATTATTACTATTATTATTATTTCCTCTTATTAAACTGTCTTTATCTCAGCCCTTGGCTCTAACCTTTTATTTTCTTCCTGATTCTCTCCCCCATCCCACTGAGGGAAGGGGGGGAATGAGCGAGCGGCTGCGTGGTGCTGAGTTGCCAGCTGGGTTAAACCATGACAATTTGAAAATAGCCTAAATGGAATTTTAAAAATGCTGTTAATCTCACTAAGTTCATACAATGTTCATAAAGTGTCTCTAAACTTGGCCAGTATACTTTTTACAGTATTTAAAAACAAATATGTTCATCTAGCCGTTAGCACCACTGACCAGGACTGGAGTGAAAAAGCTGGATGAAACTCGAAGACACAGTTTGGTGACTTCCTTTAACATTACTCTTTCAACCTTACATGAAGCAAAATAGCATCTGTCCTTTCCGATCTCCATAGAACAGAAAATTCAACTCAAACTATGGTAAGATGAACAGTGTACCATAAGGCTTCTCCTTTCTTCAAACACATCTCTATAAGCCTATGCTCAATTTTCGACAAAATAAAGGAAATTTCAAAAGGAATGCTCAAAATGCTGTAAAAATATTGCTCAATTTCAACTAATTTTTAGCACCCATCTAGCAACCAAATGAAAGCTACTGCACTTGTAACAAATCAAAAATACCGTTGGATCACATTCCACCCATCTGCACCTGCCATCATTATATTGCAAAACATAAACAATATGCAACAATTCTAGTAATGAAAGACCAGAGCCAGTTCCCAAGAGCATCAACAGAAAGGTGATATGTGAACGTACTGGGAGCTGAAAAAAACCCCCAAAAGAGCCCATGATAATGCAGGCCTGATTTTTCAAAAGTACTTGTGATCTGGGCAGAAGAAAATACTGTTTCAAGCTTAATGTAAGGTAAATATAATAGCTTTTGTGGGCAACTATTGTCATCGTGTTCATCATACGGTATTTGATAGCAGCTTCAAAGAGGTTGATTAACCACATCTCCTACTATAAGGAGATTCCATGAACATAATTCATAACAGATGCCAAAGAAGAAAAATCTTGGAAAAATTGTAAAGGTGAAAACATTGTGTATTTTCAGTTTAAAAACAAAACAAAACAAAATGACAACAGCAACAACAAAAAGACTATGTAAATATTCAATAGTTTTAAACCATAGCTTAAGCCTCTAACAGGTTGTTGAGTTACCATCCTTGCTGAAAGGGAGTGCAACTTGCATTGCTCCAGGGAAGAGGGCTAGGACTGATTTTCTAAATCATATTTCCCTCTTGTTCTGTGTGAAAGGTGAGCAATTCACTCTGTCTTTTGCATTGAGCTGAAAGGAGCAGGACACTGTGGAAAGGATAGTGGGAATGATAGTAGTGTCTCAAGGGAGACATGGAGGTTTCTTATCCTTGCCCTTCCCATGTTGCATGGGCACATGGAGGGTCAGTCACAGTGCAAACTTCATATCACCTCATAAAAGGGAATAAAAGTTTATTATTTCCTAAGCTATTTCATGGCTTCAAGGATCTTAAGAAAGTAAAATGAACTCCTTTTTTGCATGGGTGGTTAGGCTTACAGGGCATTTCAGAAAACAAAACTGAAAACCAAACAGTGTTGGCCACCTGTATGACAGAAGGCAGGATCCTACAGCAATACCTAAACTTTAGACAAAATGTACCTGCTCTGCAGAATTGAAAAGCACCTACAGCAGTTAGGGCAGTCAGCCTCTTAGAATGCTAATTCATTTCTTGTTGAAAACTCCATGACCTTCTGCAGAAGTCTAGGAGGTAACTGAAGGCATCCAAGTCACATTTTATAGGTTACTCTTCCACTCTGTGCAAGCAAAACCAGTACACCCTCCCCCAAGGTTTCAGAGTCTTATGAAGACAATTCTCAAAACATGGCAAAATCTAAGAGTTAAAAATCGAGTACCAAGAAATATAAAGAATACCAACCACACGTCTTGGCTCAGTTGTGTCATCAAGGCCACAGAATGAATGCTAGTGAAAAAAACAAAAAAAGGAACAAAAACTATAACATAAGATCAAAAGAAAATGAGGAAAAAAGAAAAGAAAAAAGATGTAAGATATGTAATATGAAATCCAATGACATTACAGCAGTTAGTCTTACAGCAATATTAATTGAGTTGATCTGAAAGAGAGATACAGTATACCAATCTGACTCTAAAAAGGCGTAACAGGGTACAAAATTCAGTATTTGAGGACAGCTTTAAAAATGGTAACATTTGTGGATTATGTAACTTCAGAAATAATAGTCTCAGCTCTGTGACTCGAAGCAAGTACTTATAATCATACACCTGAGAGCTTTCCTGAACCAAGACTTACCAAGCCAAGGGCACAAGCTAAATGCAACTTAAATGGTAGAATCAGTTATGAGAAAAGCATGGCATGTTTAAACAGCACTTGTTCCTCATGTATCAGCTTGTAGAATAAAACTGAGATTTTACATTATTCTTTTGTGTAGCTTTAGAAGAAGGGAATTTTGCTGAAGAATCTATAGGGTAAAAACACTGTCATCCTTATGTTCTGATTTTACAGAATTGTACATAAAACTTAAAAATTGAATCCATTCCTAAGGGAAAATAAAAAGCCATACTTGTGACATGGTAACTATAAGTGGTGCATTGCCCTTAGCTACAACCTGCAATGAGGCTCAGCTATAAATACTGCCCTTCCTTCAGAAGCATAAGACTTGTCTCCACAAGAAACTATTGTGCTCAGTATCAGCAGCATGTAGATGCCAGTCTGCACCCACTGACATATTAAACCTTCAGAAGAATTAAGAAGAAGTATATCATTCATCGATTCTCAATCTGCCTTCAGGCAGTCAAATTCAGAATGAGATTAAATCCCAAGGAAAAAAATTTGAATGTAACAGACAGAAGGAAGCCCTCCACCCATGCAGGAGCTGAAGGATAACAGAAAATGAGGAAGCTTTTTTGAGGTCTCCTGCTAATGTTGCATTAAGGCAAAGAGAACGTTAGTAATTTTACCTCCTTATCAGCTTTCTGCCAAGCTTGTGATTAAGCTGTTTCTTTTCTGATAGTTTTCCTATCCATTGCACTGACGAACCAGCACAGACAATGCTAACTTCCATTTTCAAAATGAGCAGTCTGTCTAAAGCAGTGCCTACTTTGTAAACTGTAATGACAATGATTAAAGGCTTACACCTTGGCAATCGCAAGGTCTAGAGATTTTGATGGTTTAGAATGGGTGCGTAAACCCTAATATTTGCAATAATTATCATGTAGGGATATCACCTGTCCCTCAAGGTTTCTCTATCTTGAGTTAACTGTAGCATCTTAGATATCACTGGCTGCTAGGCAGGAACATCTTCAGGTATAACAGTCATCCAGGGCAGAAGAGGGCAAAGGCAGCTAAAGAGCCCTTTAAGGGCTGGATACTGCTTATGTTTCTCTGCTGGTCGGAACAGGGACCACTGCCTCCCCGATGGATGCAGACAGACTAGCCCCAGCCAGGGGGGAGTGGGGCTGATGTAAAGTGACAGCAACAGCAGACAGTCAAGCTCCTCACAGCTCCTCTCCTGGCTCTGCCACAAGCCCAGCTGGATATCATGGTTCAAAAAGTGCAGGACAAGGTACTGCAGAGGGGGGACAACTACTTTGAGAGCAGAAGGGGCCAAGGAAGCTGCTGAGGGAATTGGAGTAGCTGCTAGAAGTGTTTTACCCCCAGAGGGTGACACCGGGGGGGATGCCACACCCTGAGAGCAGAGGAAGGGATGGTGAGATTAGTGAAGGGTGAAGAAGAAACCTTCCCACATCCAGCGTGCTGCTCCTCAGAGCCTCTCTCAGTCCTGCACACCCCACTGACCTCTTCCAGCTCCTATTCAGAGTCCTCCAAAAGCCCTCCTTTTGCTCTTTTATCCCATTCCAATCCCAAAAGAAAAAAAAAAACAATGACTGTAAACTCCCCGAACTGCTCCATTCAGCCCAGCAGCAGGTTTGTACCGATACGTACTGGAGAAAACCAACCTGAGATGATGTGACTCATCTTGGGATCTAGGCACTGGTTTAGCAAAATCAGCGTCATTAAAACACTTTGCTAGAGCTTAGAGAAAGCCCTGTTGTCAGCCTATGCCCTGCAGAACAGCCTAAACTCCAGAGGCCTGGGAAACACTTGAGCCCACGATCCAGGAACCTCATGCCATCTCTCACTTGGGACCCCAGTGACCCAAATACATTTGCTGTCCTAAGTCTCAATCTGATCTTCTTCAAAAGAGAGGAAAAAATGGATCCGGGATATTAATTTGAAACTTGTTTCTATCTTAAAGCAAGATTTTTTTTTTTCAGTGTTTGCCACACATGCCTCATTAACTTCTTTTTCATTTTCAGTATTTGCAAGTTTTGCAAAGCAGTGTTTTCTGAAGAACGGGGCTGAGCTAACCACTTCTGTCAAACAGAGACAAATCTTTGTGTTGTTTCTTGATCTAAACCACAGCAAATTCTCCCCCTCCTAGTCTAGTGTCTTTCCAGACCCCTTGATTCCTTTCTGTACTTGACAGAAAACCTGGATAGCAAATAATTTTGAGCATATTAGGGACAAAGCTTCATTTCATGCAGCAATAACTTGAACTCAATTTTTATCTTTCTTGTTTTAAAACAGATTTCATTATATTAGGTAAAGTATTATTCATGTCAATGTAATGTGGAAAAAAATCCATTAGCACTGCCCAGGCATTTATTTACCTTTTCCTCAATTTCTTTGAGTTGCCTCTTTTGAAGTTCTATTTTATCTTCTAGTTCTCGAATTCGCTGGAACACAAAAAGGCAAAATAGAAATTATTATACCTAATTTGAAAAATATATTTAAAGAAGATAAGACATAGATTAAAAACTAAGAGAACAAATGCCCATTATTAATATAAGAATTCTTTTACAGTTATATTAGGCAGGTTCATGGCAGGATTGCTCCACATTTCCCTGAAACCATGGCATTGTAAACAAGCTGCACATTTAGAACATTATGTTTACTACCAGGAAGTCTAATCATCACCACTCATTAATCATAATCTTAACATATACACACAGACAATTCCAATTAGCACCAAAATTCTTAGAAGTACAACGCTTCTTTCTCTGGAACTGCCGGAAGTTTTTCTACATACCTAGACAGCCAGCAGATGACAATACTACATTTCATTTTATCTCTCTATTTTCATTTCCTGTTAAACATATCTATGTTTCTGGCATAGTCATGCTATAGCAGAAAACCAGAGCACACAGGTTTTCAGACCATCACCAAGACGCTATCCAGAGATTCAGCTCCATCCTATTACCAGAGCCACCTCCCACCAGAGTCAGAGGCAATGTCCCCTTCAGCGTAGCTCTCTGTATTTTTAAGGATTTTCCTTGTTCAGTTCCACAAAGGTTCTCCAAAAATAGGACTGTTGTTGGACCCACACATCCTATTTTACTTCTGTCCCCTTGTTTCCTTTCTATAAGTAATGCTTCTTTTCTTTTTTTTCCCCCTGAGTTTCTACATCAAGAAGATGCATTTTATTACACTTTCGTTATATTGTACTTGTTACAGATAAAGTAGGCTAACAAATATTTTTCCTTATAGGCAGAAACCTGGAATCTCCTACTAACAGCCACTGGGAATCAAGGAATAACTTTATACTACCACTTTTTTTTCAGGATTAACTACCTGACTTTTGCCTGGCCTACAGTAGTTAAGGTTATTAACAGTTCCTGAATTTTGAAAGAGAAATCATCATCTAGTCTGATTTCTGTGTGCAGGCCAATAAAACGAATGTAGCAGCTGCTGCACCACTCCCAAATTATTTTACTACTGCCAAACTGATTTGAACAAGAGTATCTCTTTCAAAACAACATCCAATCATTATTTATAAACCTGTGTGATCAACCGACGTCACCAGTTGATGACCTGCATTCAGTTCAAAGACCTCGAAGAGTGGGAAATGCCCCACACTCATGGTAGCCCAGGACAGTCGCAGCAAGGCAGCAGCTGATCCAATGACCATTTCGTACCAGTTTTGAGAACTACAGAGTTTAGCCTGAACATTTCAAATCTAACCTAGAGCTACGCCAAAGATGAGGTACAGTTCACCTCGCCGAGGGCATACCAGTCTGGACACAAATATTGCAGACAGGTCACAAGCAATAGCTTTGATATTGTTGCTGCTGTTTTAAAAGAAAAAATTTTGTTTAAGCGACTGTTTTGAATATTATGCGGTCAGAGTAAGTCAGTCAAAACCTCCACTGTATCACGCTGCGTAGCTCAGAGATTTACCCAGATAATAAAAAAGCACAAACCAGATTACCCTCGTGTGACACAAGGGCACGCAGCTTTGCTGACAGTAACAAATGCCCTGAGTACAGAGCTGTATTAATTTCACTTTTCCTCTATTACATTTGAATTGATTTATACTTCATTTGAATTGATTTATACTTCATCTACTCCCTGCTCAAGGCAAGTCTATCTCTCCAGCCATCATCTTGATATACTGTATGTACCAGGAATATTGCAATCACTGTAAAAAGCAGTGGCATGAGAAGCAGGCAGGTGTAATCACCTCTGAGACCTCCGGTCCATCAGGTTACACGCTTGTTTCTCTCCCACTCATTTCAGCTATGCTGATTCCTACTTACAACCACATCCCAGAGCTGAGTGACAGACTTCAATGCACTGGGGGTCCTGTTACGCTCTGTGATAGAATTTGACCGTAGTGAGATAAGTGGAGAGAAGCAATGTTTTTAAGTACCATTTTCACCTTCAAGATTTATCATGTAAGATATTTTTTCAATATCTGCTGAGAACTTGCCTCCAGAAAAAAAAAGGAAAATAAAAAAAATCTCACCTCAGGGTTTACAGCAAGTGTTCTTTTATAAAAGCACATGTTAATTAGGATAAGATGGCATTTTTCAGATTTGGGAATTCTGTTAATTAAGTAAAAATTGAGATGTTATTACTCCCTTATGAATATTTAATCTTTTCAAAAGATTACAGCTATTCAGCTATTCTCTCCAGCTATTCAGAAGTTCTAAAAAAAAAAAAAAAAAAGGGCTGAGGCTTCTGTTTTCTAATTCCCACCCATAACCCATCCTAATTGTTAAACTTTGTGAGACAAAAGATAGAGAATAGTTTCAAGGTGAAGAAATGTACACTTTCCTAAAAATCAGTTTAGATACAAAGACAACCTAGCCATTAAAATGGAATACGCATAGGGTTGAATTTCTTAGCAGAGAAAATCTACAAAATAAATCCTCAAAACAACTAGATTTATGCCAGTAAGGCAGACATATACAGGGTGGGTATAGTCCACAGGGCAGATATTTACACGTATATGTGTCCAGACCTGCCACCTAAGGCTAGTATGTTGAAGACAGGTGGCTCATGTGTCAATAGCTGGCATTGCCCTGATGTGAGTGGCAACCACCGTGACAGAAGACTTATGCTGCAAATGAGTAAGATTTTGTAACCGACTTCTTTACTACAGAAATTAAGAGTTCAAGCCTAGACAGATCAGAATTTGTTCTAAAACACAACTGTAAGCTGGAATTTTCCATCAGGTATCAAAGCTTGGGGTTGTTTACTTGTAGATGTTTACTTGCTTTCCCCTGGCCGATTGTAGGGAGGATTAGCCAGGAGGATGAAGTGGGCGTTGCTACTCCCATCAATATCCTCTGATTGCACAGGGTCAGCACTGGAAGATAACCAGCCTAGCTCAGCTATTTATATATCCTGAAAAATCTGATTTAACTCATTTCTCTCCATTTAATGCAGAGATGGCCTTAAAAATATATAGATATATATGCAATATATTGGCAGGAAAAACCAGAAGTACATCTACATACAGTATTTAATACATAAAAATAATTATTTTCCCCCATTGTACCTATCTGTGTTTACAGCATTATCTTGATCATACAAAGAAAACCATTTCCGAAATACTACTTTAAAAATTACATGTAAGCTACATGCAATAAGCCTAGCTTTAACAAAAAATAAAGTATCTTCTAGAAGCAGCAAGAGATGTTCTACTGAGAAGAAAATCACACAAAAATTACACATACTAATTAAAACCAAAGGCAGGACTGCTTGAGATTCAGTATAAGCACTTAGATTTTTATCTACTGTTCCTTTTATTTGCACGAATTAGCAATCAAGAGGATGTGGACACGCTCTCAGGTTTTCAACACTTGATTAGATGCTTCCAGTGAATTCTGTTTTGTTTATGTTTGCAAAAGCCTAACTGTGACAACAAATTACGCAGAACTATTTTATTGTTATCAAGAAATTCTACCTACTTTCATGCTTCAGGGCATAAATTGATGATCAGTAAGCCAAGCTTTTCCTATTATGTCATATAGAGTTATAACAGTTGTGCTGTAAAAGATGCATTCAGCTCTACCCTTGACAAGGCTCTTGGGAATTTTGCAGGGTAAATCCAGAGCATTTTCAACTGCACAAAAGACTGTGTGACGAAGTAACAAAATCTACTATATCTTGCTATCAAAACACTGAGAAGTCTTAGTTGAGAAGAAAGCCACAGGCTGTTCTTTTGTTTATACTCATTTTTTAAAAAGGGAGGGACAGAAGACATGGATAGATAATCTAAAACCAGTACAGTTCTTATGCTTCCTTTAAACCCCCTAGCATTGGTCACAGCCAGAGCGAGGATTAGGGACAAAGCGGAGCGGTGTTCTGCTGGGTTCTAGCAATTCCTGTGTTCCTATGGTTAATAGCTGGCCCTCGGTCACATGAGTGCACCTTTTTGGGACTGACAGGATTCATGGGAATAACACAGTGTTGTCAAATCATGGGGCCATACAAAGGAATTACTGTAGGCAAACAAAGAGCCACAGTCCCACAAAAATAGTGCAATGAGACTGAAACCATGAAAGAGAAGAGGACAAACGTTAGGGACATGGATCCTTAATGCTGTCCACCTCGACTGCATTCAAAACCAACCTGCCAAAATAATGACTACTAATCTGTCATTGATTTTATTGCAATAACAAATAAAACCTCACAAAACTTTAGGATGATGGAGGGGTAGATTGGTGAATACTCCATTATTACCTTCACCCACACGGTGCTCCCCTGAGGTTTGGAAAGAGGGTTGGATAAGCATTCTGTCTCAGTATGGCAGGCACCTACTTGACGAATCGTCCTTCCACTAGCAATGATGTTTGCTGCCACCTCTGAGTAAGTGCCTACAAGCATCCAGAGAGCAGCAGGGGCTGAAAGGGCCCCTCCTGCTGTATTGAGTTAACACCAGATGGCTCTGCCGGCCAAGCTACGGCTGGAACAGCAACTTCAGCTCTGGCAGGAATGAGGCTCAGCTGTGAAATCCATTTACATATGTACAACATATGCCTTACTTACTACTTAAATGCAATTTGAACAGACTTTTAAGTTCCATTATAAAATTTTTCTTAATAGTAGTTACATATACATTATATATACAAAGGTAGGTGGCACAGCTATAACCCTGACGGACAGCTTAAAAATGCTAGCAGTTAGGTAAGAGAGAGAACATCCAGAAAGTTCAGGCAGCTAAAGCATACATTTCCTTTGGAAGTGCAAAGACAGGCATATGACTGAAAGTCTGCTGAAGCCCCCCGAACACGGCACTACGTATGACATTACTTCACTGAACAGAGCCGTAAAAGGGAAGTTTGCCGCCAGTCATTTCCAAGTGTACAAATGTTAAGTTCACTGACTGCAGTGATCATATACTGCCCCTCCTCTTCAACCCAATGCCCTTGACAAAGGGCTGTCAAAT